GGGAGAGATGGGAATGAAGGCTCAGAATGGTAAAGCCCCTTGTCCAAGGCCATACAGGTAGAAAGTGGCCACGCTGACCAGAACCCGGCCGTGAGTCTCTCAAGCTTTTAACCACATACATATCAACACATATGCAAACACACGCACATAAGGCTGCCAGTCCACGAGAAGGGAGCCCGATTTACTGGAGGTCAAAACCAGCCAGAAGAGGGAAAGCAGGTACTTTGGCCACTTGTGGACCTGCAGGGTTCAAAGTCCTCAAGTCAGGGGCTGGGATTTCCTCAGGCTGAGACCTCCTCCCACCCCGCCTTGTCCCCCACAGCCCAGTGGAATGTTGTTTATGCACCCAGCCTGCCTTTTAGTATGTGAAAGTGCTAAGGGGAGTTTCAAAACAACCCATGGGATTAGCGTGCTGATTGGCTGTCACTACCTCTGTCTTACATTAGAGAAATGAAGACTGAGGGAAGGTGAAGAGCTTGCTGCCAAATCAGCAGTAAAACCAAGGCTGAAATTAAGATTTATTTCCCTCTTGGCCCTCTTCCTGGGCACCTGATCATCCCTACGTCTTCTTTCGTGTTTGTTTGGTTTTTCTCTTGTTTTTTTGTTTCTTTTTTTAGACAGAGTTTCACTCTGTCACCCTGTAGAGCATTATGGCATCATAGCTCACAGCACCCTCAAATTCTTGGGCTCAAGTGATCCTCTTGCCTCAGCCTCCCAAGTAGCAGGGGTTACAGGTGCACACCACCATGTCCAGCTATTTTTTTTTTTTTTGTAGAGACAGGATCTCACAATGTTGCCCAGGCTGGTTGGGTTCAAGCGATCCTGTCACCTCGGCTTCCCAAAGTGTTGGCTGGGGTTACAGGAAGGAGCTACGTCTGGCCCCCCTAACCCTTCATTTTTATACCAGGTTTCCAGAAAAGATAAACAACTTCTCTAGGGTCACACTGGGGATCAGCAAGCAGCATGGCCAGGATTAGACCCTATTTCACATTTCTAAAAGGATGAAGTTTTCAATGCTACATTAGATGAGCCCAGATTTCCCTTCTAAAGAAAGTTAAGGTGCAGGGGGAGGGCACAGGGAATTAAATCTTCCCAGAGTTCTGGAGGCAGCTTCTCTGCCCTGTTCTGGCCTTTCTCCACCCCGACCTCTGATTGGATGGAAACTCCCAAGTGGGCAGGAGCCATTTAGGATTAGGCCAGCAAAGCCAGACCGAGCCTCATGGGATTGTGGGCAATTATTCCTTTTTTTTTGTAAAGGTAGAAAGGCCCTGACAGTCCTCCCTTCCCCCACCCTCTTTTCAGACAAGGCCTATTCAGTCTGGGGTGGCTTTGAAGAACCAGGCCACACAGCAGCCTGACCCAGCCCTGACCAGAGAGGGACGACGCCCTGCTCCTGGCTAAGGATATGGCCTGTTCTCCTTAGCTTACCCCATCCCTGTCCAGGCACATGTGCTCGCGTGTGTGGGCATGTACAGGCACCTTCTCCAGGCCCTCAGGTCTCTCTGCATCTTTGTCCCTTTCACAGACACACAAAAGAAATTACTAAAACTAAAGAAGCCAGTGAACCCTGCTAGACCCATAGCTGGTGGGGACCTGGGGTTGGTGCTGGGCATTTAGAGATCCCAGATACTTCCCGACTATCTAGGGGAAAGAAGAAGTGGGAGGTGCTCCTTTGTTCTGTAGGGACAAACACCTGCCAACAGAAGGTATCTAAGGCACCAAGCCCAACCGTCTCATTTTATAACCTAGCAAGCAGATTAGAAGACAAGGGACTTTGCCATGGTCATCTAAGCAGGTGGCAGCAGATCTGGACTTAGATCCTAGGTCTCCTGGCTCCCAGGCTGGAACTATCGTCCCTTCCCTTCTAGGGTCTTGGCTGCCCCTACGGGGTCTCAGCAAATCCACAGGCATCAACTGTCACTCCCCTGGAATCTCAGGAAAAATACAGGTGACTAAGAAAAGTATCCACTACTTGGCTCGGCGCCTGTGGCTCGAGCGGCTAAGGCACCAGCCACATACACCTAAGGTGGTGGGTTCGAATCCAGCCCGGTCCCGCCAAACAACAATGATGGCTGCAACCAAGAAATAGCCGGGCATTGTGGCGGGCGCCTGTGGTCCCAGCTACTTGGGAGGCAGAGGCAGGAGAATCGCTTGAGCCCAAGAGTTGGAGGTTGCTGTAAGCAGTGAAGCCAAGGCACTCTATCCAGGGGGACAGCTTGAGGCTCTGTCTCAAAAAAAAAAAAAGAAAGAAAAGTATCCACTACTTGCCAAGCACTGTGCTGGGTGCTTTCTCTATATAGAAATTATACTGAATTGGCACAATGATCTTATAAGGTACTCTGCCCATTCTGTAGATGAGGAGACTGAGGTTGAGCTGAGACACTCACAGCTAGAAAGCAACAGAGCTGGGATCCAAATTCACAACTTTCTCAAGACCATGTCCTAACCACAACCAGGGCTTCTTGCTGTCACTCACTCTTCACTCTAACTGCCAGTCCAAAACACAGCCCCAGGCCAGGGCTCCAAGGCACCCCTACCCCTGCCTAGGAGTAAACAAGGGTGAAAGTGATAATGCTTAAACAAAGAAACAGAAACTTGGCTGGGACACCAGGGAGGAGTTCAGGTCAGGGCTTGGAATACTGTAAACTAATGAGCCTTCTCCCACCTGGCTCCTGCCCAGGGGAGGTAGGGTCAGGGACACACTTGACCCTTTTAGGATGCCAGACCCAAAGGGTAATAACTGAGCAAGTCAAATTTGGGGGGGGGGGGTAGGAGAGTGATGAGTACCAGGACTCCA